TGTGTAAACAATGCGAACAAACGAGCGAGCATGAAGTTCTCAGTGCATGATCTGGATGCCTAGAGGACCATTTCTCTTTTTCTAAATTCGTTAACCACAGCGAGATTTGTTATTCTTATGTTTGTAGTCGCTTGCTCAAAACCTAGCAGGCATGCATACGTTATACAATTGTGCAGTTACAAAATACAACCGATGCAGAAAGACAATCATCTATCTCATTTTGCACTTTGTTATTGTATCTAAATGTCGCTTAAGTGTCTTAATTCTAAATTATCGCTCAAACTAAATTGTGATAAGCTTAAACCTTGAAATGACTGGCGGGTTCAATATCCAAATGATCAATTCATTAATGTAATCTTGGGGGTACGCTTCACTTAGTTTGACTGTAAAAGAAGCAACTAATGTATTGTTCCATAATAAATTTCAAATCTTCTTTTAAGAAGTGGTACAGAGCTCCTACCTTTCAAAACGGAAAAAGGCCCCAGGGGGTCTTACACCTGGGAGAGGGGGAACTTATAATTGTATTTACTTTCTTTAGATCACAGGTAGGTGGGCCTAGAACCAGTGGGGCGTCTTAGTGGGGGAGCTTAGAAGCGGCAGTTTATGGTATGTAAAACGTTGCTTACGGACTTGGATTAAGCATGATGTTCTTTACTTTTTTGCTTTTTTCAGTAAACTTAATCTTCTTAGTCGTCTTAAAGAAAATTTTTAACATCCTTTGAGAAATGCGAGTGCATTAATAAGCATAACTCGAGTTGATATTTACAAAGCCAACGTAGTTATTTACAAGCCAACATAGACAACCAGTTTTGCTAAACAGCAATTCTCACATTTTGACAACCAGGAAAAACTTTAAATTGAAAATGCTAATAAGTTGGAAATACACGCTAAAAAACTTACGATCTTAAGGATTAAAATTAAAAAAATCGAACAGTTTTCGAGGTTGTCAAACTTTTCTTTTTCTTTTCACATTAATTTTCGGACAGAATTTTGAGGGTAATTCCTATAAGTATCGCTTTGTAGTATTCTATTTTTTCCCGTTTGCTTTGTCTTTTATTTCTTATTTTTCTTTCATCAACCAGTGAAGCTGATTCAGCTGAAATAGGTGATTGACATCTTTTATTCAAAATGAATTTATGTACTCACCGCCAGGTTTAGCGAGAAAATAGCATGTGTTTTTTCCGGCGCGACTGGTTGACTTAGTCCCACGACCTCGGCAAGTTCTTTGTTTATTGTCTGACTTCTGATAGACAGGATGTTTAGTTAAAATTGTTATTTCAATTAACTTTTCGTTGCGCATTACACATTCTGAATTCACCAGCATGGTAAAATAAGCTTAGATCTCGATAAAATGCAGATAAATAACTGATAACGTTACTAGCAATTCAATGGAGGGGGCCATGCTTTACTTGGTGTTATTATTTTTCCAAAACACAGTTAAATTGTAGGGATAAAGAATCGTATTCATATCTAGGTTAAGAGTAGAGCCATATAAACGTCTTTTGCCCTGTTAGCGGAAACTTGCGAAAATTTTGATGGAGGAAATAACTTTCTTCATGCTTTAATGTTGTAAAGGGCTTCTATTTCATTCATGAATGCTGTCAACATAAGTACCCGCTCACATCATAGTTCTCATCACCTTAATAATAGAGAGACAGACAGACGAAGAATTATGAGGCGAGTTCACCATCTCGTTTTCGTGGTAATTCTTGCGTATTGCCTGCTTGTGGCCTAACAGTGGTACTTCTGCAACAAATTACTCGTATTTCCATCTCTTCTGTTTGTTAAACTCGTTTTCGTAACAGCAGGTGGACGAATACCTGTCGGAATCGCTTGTTCCTCGCTGCGTAGATCAAAGGATTCATTAAAGAATTGAGCAAAGCTAATGTAAAAGCTAAAAAGAAAAGGATGTGGGCGACATTAAATTCAGTCACATAGTCTAAGGAAAAAG